ACATTATGCTAATGTACAATGTAACACTCACTTTTGACTACTTATATTATGAGTCCCATGTAATAGGGGTGAGGTTATTGAATTAAATTAAAAAAAAAACAGTAATATTTTGTCCGATTCGGGAATCGAACCCGAGACCCCTTGCCCGGCAGTCGCACTTACGTCAGTCAGCCAACGAGGCAGTCAAATTGAGTAGCCTTTCAGTATTTGGGCGTAAGTGACAAGTGCTCGATTAATGCATGCTGTAAATGCTGTCGTGCTTGAAATTAGTGTGTAACAGTACCTTTTTTTTAAGGGGGGGAAAATCATCGAATGTCTGCTCCCGCCTGGGTGAGTCGGGAGGGAGTGTCAGACTCTTACTGACTAAAAACCACCCCGTTCTACTCTCCTGCACGTCGAGCCGGAGCCCCGGTTACCCGTTAGGTTCTCCGCGACTCCGAATCGGCATCGGCCCTGTTGGGCCCCATCTGTGGTGGTCTGTTGGCTCTTTGAGGCGCGTGCGGAACGCGACGCGCCGTACGCTCGGGTGCGTAACAGTACCTTAAAGTAACATCTTACTTTTAGTTGGGTCAGGTCGGGTAAGATTGAATAAGAGTAAAGTAGAATAAGATAAGAATAAGTAGAATAAATGTAACCTACAGAAATATGCTTACTCAAACAAAATATGGGACGCAAAAGTCACCGACGGGAATTAGCAAACTGAAATGACAGTGAGCGGGGCACATAGTTCCGAGAAGGGATGGCTACAGGGGCGGAAAGGTTCTCGAGTGAAGGCCGCGTACTGGCAATCGTCGGACGGCTATCCCCAAGGTGGATGGAGGACCTAATTACAGTCCTAGGGAGCCACTGGATGCAGGTCACTAACTGATTCAGCTATCTTAGGAAGGAAGTCATTGGAGGATGTTTATATTCCGCAGAGAATACTAAAAGCTGAAGCTAAAAGAAAATGGCTCATTCATTTACCATGATAATATAATCATAATGATGATCCATTTTTTTAATAACTATTGTATGACATACTAAATTAATTAAAAGTAACGGTTTATTTACATACATATATTGAGGAAACCGCACGTTGCTCATGAGAAAGAGTCCCTATATAACTCGAAACTAGTTGAATTTTTTCTCAGTATGTTTACATGTGTAAACTGAACGACGAAAACGAGGTGCCACCTAATGTACGCGGCTCGTTATGATCCTTCAAGGTTCCGTTAATTCACATTTATCTACATAGCGACAAGTACTTATCAATTAGCACACATCCTACTGATAACAACCTTTTTACCTGCGGTTTTTGTGAAAGCACTAAAAGCCCAACCATTATTGGAAGTACTCTATTCTCTTAATTTTGTTACAAAATTTTCATTTTAGTAGGTAATGCCATTTGAGCTCGCGTGTGGTATAATTGTATTGTGTTCATTACACCGTACGGTATTTGCCTGGAATTTTATACACTAGCTTTTTTTCTGAATGTCACAATAGGTTTTATAGGTCTGCCTCGATTTTTTTATAGGATAAGCCGGTAAACTAATAGACGGATCACCTGATGGTAAGCAATCGGTAAATTTTTTGTCTCTGTCTGTCTGTCGATATAACCGTTACAGTAACAAAAACTACTCGACGTATTTTAACGAAACTCAGTACAGGTAAATACTATTCTACCTGAGGGATTAGTATGATTTTGTTTTAAATGTTATGGCGTTTAGCGCTCTGATTGGCCGGCTCCAATCAACCAACCAATCAGAGAGCTCAACGCGGTAACGTTTCGACCTCATTAAACACAAAACAAACTAGTAGTAAATCGAAAGCGAATTCGCATGTTTGCTTTTCGCCAACCGCCAATATTACAGATTTCTTTCATAAACACAGCCCCACAACCAATAACAAACACTACAACAAATAATTATCCAATTAATTTGGCGCAGTCGCTCATAAATAATGCGCGAACAAACGTAGTGACAATTTATTTTTATTTACATTCTTAGAATCTATATAGATTATTATTATATAGGTGTATATACATGGCAAGTCATTAACTATCTTTTACCAATAGTCTTCGTCCCTAATGTCACGGTTTATGAAAGAAAGGCAATTTCTTTCGCTCGGCTCGAGTGTTATTTGTGATTGGTATATCAACATACATGTGTATGTATAAAAGAAGGTGTCGAAGATTGGTAGGGAGCCAAGAGCCAAGCGAAGGACATAGTATTTTTATCGATAAATTTTGGATGTTCCCGAAATTTTTTTGGAAACAGGAAAAAACGGGATTACCCATACGAAGTCGCGGGCGGAAGCTAGTATATGGATATAGAGAAGGATACATTTGGATGGACAACGGAAGCGATTTGGATTTCCGAACGAAATAAATATGTATGATATGCAGGTTGTTATTCGTGGTGTGAATGTGATGTATTATGTTACGACACAGGAGAATATTTTAACATAAGTGAAGAGGTAGGCAATATAACAAATGATCCAAGTGTTATTTCACACTCGCATATAATATGTTCCACCGAGTACTGCGGGCGGTCATCGCAATGATAACACACCGAGCGTTCTCTCCCGCCTTACTAGAAATAAGTATATCCCGAAGCTTTCATGTCCGATAAGCACCTGCGTCATAGGTGAGGACGCGGTAACGTTTCTCAAGGCATTCTGCAAAGAAGGGACTTAGGTACCGCTGCAATAAAGCGAGCTCAGCCCTCGGTTGCGACAGTCGTTCCTGTTATTTCGCCATGTGTCTGTGAGGTTGTGGTATCACTCCGGTCGGGCCGGCCCGGTTGTGTCAAAGCATGACTCTGTCACGCGTAATACGCTCGATATTTTGTCATTTCTGTTAAAATGGATGTTAAAAAATAGAAGTAAAAAAAATTAAGAAAACGTTGACCTTTAGCCTTTTTTACCTTTATAAAAACAGTGGAAACGTAGTTTTATGGAAAACAATACAAGTTGAGAATTTAAAAACACAAAACGCAAATCCTTTGTAAACATTCCCGCCAAGGCATCGTAAATTCTATTTAAAGTACAAAGGTTTTATTCATTTTGAACAAAACAACGTACTAACGTTGTTACGACTTAACCAACGGGGCACACTAGTGCCCCGTTGGTTAAGTGGTTGCAATTGCATCTGCCGGGCAACGGGTCTCGGTTTCGATTACCGGGTCGGGCGGTATTACCGGGTTTTTTCAAAAAATCTCAGTAGTAGCATGGAGTCTAGAAATGGGCCTGGTATATGGTAATAGGCTCACTCCCTATTACATGGGACTCGTAACATAAATAGTGAAAAGTGGGTGTTATTTTGTACAGTGGCATTAAATGCCGTAATGTACACCTCTGCCTTCCCCTTCGGGGATAAAACGCGTGATGCTATGTTAATATAAAATTAGGTGAATTCAATTTTGTAGAACTGGATGCAAATTATGCAGTTCCCATACATACAATGTAGACGTAAGTACCTGATTTTTTATGGCATAGAATGATAAATAACTACACGGATCACCTGATAGTAAGCAATCGTCTATGGACACCCGAAACACCAGAGAAGTTATAACCGAGTTGCCGTCCTTTTAGGGAATTGGGATTTGGAATTTAAGTTCCGGGATTTGGGGTTTGAGGATGGGGCGAGTGTGTGATTCTATATGAGGGTACACACGGCAAAACATAAGGACATCGTCTTTTCACGCCGGCATTTTGTGAGACCGTGATATAACTAGAGGTATATTTAGACTAGGTTTTATGTCACTCGTGTCAAAATACGCTCGCATACATTTCTATGACTAATTACCATTCCGGGTAGCAGAATAATTGAATTAAAATATCCGGAAAAATATCAAAAAGCGAATACTACGAAAATTAATTTTCCCGCATATCACATTAGCTGTATACGACGTTTGTTAGATAGAACTAGTATGTAGTTACAAAAAAACTAACTACGTGAAAATATTATATGTGTGTATATTTTCAAAGAAAATATAGCTTCATTCCCGGATCCTTGATTCCCGGATCGGGCAAAGTATTACTGGGTTTTTCAAAAATTCCCAGTGGTAGCACGGAGTCTGGAATTGTGCCCGGTATATGGCAATAGGCTCACCCCCTATTACATGGGACTCATAACATAAATAGTGAAAAGTGGGTGTTACATTGTACAGTGGCATAATGTACACCTCTGCCTACCCCTTCGGGGATAAAAGGCGTGATGTTATGTGGAAAATATAGCTTCAAAGAAATGCTGATTTAAGATATAGATAATGTTTTATGCTCTTATATTTTTAACTCTAAAAATACTTACAAATATTTGAAAGCTTTGATGTAACCTAGACTAAGAAAGCTGAAATATTAACATAAAATCAAATAATATTTTTAAGCATTTATGCTACCTAAGCTAATGAGAGAAAAAAACATACCGACCGAGTTGAAAACCTCCTCCTTTTTTTAATTAACGCACACCCTCAAACACCCCAATTAGAATATTATGTTATAATCATAATACATACACTAAATTTTTAATTTAACATGTATATGCATCCTTATTGGTCTTGTCATAAGGTTTATTTTTCTTTATTTTGTATTGAATGATAGAATTTGTATGAATACAAATAAAACTGCGATTTTAAAAGTCTTATTGCTTTGACTTATGGTCCATTTCGATTTGTTTTAAGAATACAGGGTTAATATGACAATAATTTCCGTAGTTTTAATTATTTTTGTGATAAAAAATTACCTATACTAAAAATTATATAAATCGATTCAGTTAACGATTCTGAACAAACTATTTTCAGGTTTTGCGTTATTTAAGTTACATGTATGTTGTATATTAGATGGGACTGACGTTTGACCACTATCTCGCCTGGTGGTAAGCTATGATGTGGCCTACGACGGAGCATGTCGTCCCATAAGCAACCTATTCACTCGGGCCTTGAAGACACCCATTTTAGTTTTATTTTTGGGAACAATGCCTAATTATCATATGTTTTTACAATATTACACGGTTTTGTCCACAGATGCTCCAGAGCTGGTTGTACTAACTACAGAAAAGTCAGTACCCCTACGCTTCGAGCTAGAATACCTAGTCCAGTGCATCGCAACCTGGTCTTCAAATAGCGACCTCGTGTGGCACATCATTAAAGTCATTTTCATTTACACGTAAGTATATTACAAAAAAGTTTTTGCGTGTTTGATTGAGATTGTGTAAATCTGTACTAATATTATAAATGTGAAAGTTTGTGTCCGTCTATTACGGGAAAACGAAGCGCCGATTTCTATATGTGAAGATAGTTGAAGGGATGTTATTTTTTTATTTATTTATTTTTAATAAAACGTTGCCCCACACTAGGATTTTCTCCTGTGTCGTGGGTGCGTTTACAAACATAGAATATCACATTCACATGACACCCAGACCCGGAACAACAATCTGTGGATCACACAAAGAGTTGTTCCGTGCGGGAATCGAACCCGCGACACGATGTAAAGTAACATAGGCTACTTTTTATCGCTTTATAATCTCCCAATTCGCTAAAAGGGGTGTACGTTTGTATGTAGCATTCCGCAATTTACAGCTAAAAATTGCGAGTAACAAAAAAAATCGTGCATATTTTTTTTTTTTGTTACTACTTCTACAATCAACCCCTCGAAAAGCACGTGCGAAGTCGCGAACATGAAGCTTGTGTAGATGACGTGTGAATATTGTTTTAGTTTAATTTGTTTATTTGGCTTTACGAATGTCTGGTAAGTTTGATTTTTAAGTTGAGACTTAGTGGTGACAGTTTCATTAAAACTTCACAGTATGAGTATTCATCCAACATCAACATTTTGTCATAAAAGTAAGCAAAATGCCCAAATTAGGGAATAATGTTTTACGAAAGATAATTTTAATTATTGGATAGACATTTCATTTTTTTTACGTGGTGAAAATCATCGAGTGACTCTCCCTGCTGGGCGAGGCGGGAGGAAATGTCAGACTCTTACTGACTACCACCCCGTTCCTACTCCTGCATTTCGAGCCGGAGCCCCGGCAACCCGTTAAATCCTCTGCGGCTCCGTATCTGCGTCAGCCCTATTGGGCCCCGTATGTGGTGGTCTAATGGCCCTTTGAGACGCGCTCGGAACGCGACACCCCGTTTGCTCGAGTCTGGTTCTAAGGCCTTAGTACGAGTTTGTTTTACGTTTAAAGTATTTGAAACGAGTACGCGGCGCACTGATTGGCCGGCGCCAATGAACCAACCAATCAGAGCGCCGAATGCGTACTCGTCACGATTTCTTTAAAACGTAAAACAAACTCGTACTAAGGCCTCTGGTCGGGCGGCGAGCTACCCATTCTCTACATTCATGCACTACATACTTTTATTGACTTCGGTGTAGGAGGTGCATAAAAGATACATTAACGATGTCAGCTTACCATCAGGTGACCAATATTTGTTACTGCCAAAAATAACAGAAAAAAAGAGAAGAAATTAATTAATTTTTACAATATATTAATTTATTACTGTTATTAGACAGCTAATAACGTCTACATTCGATATTCAATAAATAGGTAGCATAATTTTTTTCTGAAAAACATCGTTGCCAATAACAAACTCCTACCATGACAACCGATTGGCTGTTTTTTTCCATCGATGTTTAATTGTATCGTCAATATAATACATCAAAATGGTAACGATAGCATATGTCAAGAAGAATTTTCGTTCATGGAATCATTTGAAAAGGTTCTACGAGTCTCTTATAACAAAATTGAATGTCAATAATATAGGTACCTAAGACGGTTATTAAGCATTATAGTATTTTTTAGAATAAAGACGGTTTTGTTGATCGATTAGCTGTAAGCACGACTGTTGTTCTGATGTAATTCCCGAAGATTCTTCGAAGAAGAAGTCGAAGATGTAATAGAGAAATTTGACAGAAAAGTATCAGTTGACCCACTGGCCATCGTACATATACAATGAGGATTACTAATAAATCTAAAAAAATCGGCTCAGGCATGTAACTGTTTGACGAGAAACACGAATAGTTTCAAGCCAAGACTGTCGTGTTCCTCCTGATTTTATTTTACTTCACTACTACTTAGGGTTTTTTAAGGGAGGGAAATCATCGAATGACTGCTCCCGCCTGGGTGAGGCGGGAGGGAGTGTCAGACCACCCCGTTCCTTCGAGTTCCTGCACGTCGAGCCGGAGCCCCGGTAACCCGTTAGGTTCTCCGCGACTCAATCTAGGGTTAAAGGCCTTCCCTAATTAAGAATTCTTAACATGCAGAGACCGCTTCGTGCCTCTGTGTGAGTATGTAAACAAAGTCCCTTTTGCCATAGCAACGTCTAAAATTGTGACTTCTCAACATGCAGACAAATAAATAAATAAAAAAAAAAATTATAAATTCTTAACATGCGGAGACCGCTTCGTGCCTCCGTGTGAGTAGGTATGTAAACAAAGTGCCGGTTGCCATAGCCATAGGATGATTGAACTATTTCCTAAAATACCCTTCCTATAGTCGGATATTTTCTTCAATATAAGCTAATCTTTTCTGTCGAAAGGATCAATGTGTGATTTTGATATTACTTTTTCTGGTAAGACAGATCTCATGGACTCAGTATGCAGTACGCGTTCTCACTAAGCCGACAATACGCTACAGCTCACATATTTGTTTTTTAATACGTTGCCCTACACTAGGGTTTTCTCCTGTCTCTTAGGTGTGTGTACAAACATATAACTTCACATACATAATGACACCCAGACCTGAAACAACAAATTGTGGATCACATACTGTGTTGTTTCGTGCGGGAATCGAACATGCGACACACTGCACGGCAGCCGGTTGCCCTGGCACTGCTCCAACCGTCCAATCAAACAACAACAAACAACAATGAGCTACATGTGTGTACAATAAAACAATATAATATTACGTTTGAAAGGATCAGAGGGGAAAAGGGCAAATATCAAACATTAAATGGATTCTAAACAGTATTTTACAAAAAAAATACAGAAACATCACTTTCAATATTGCACGCTCGGCGATTGTCAACCCACTGACTCCTTGACACTTTTGACGTTGACATTCAGAACGAAAGACTGAGTGTTGGGATCGATATGCTAATCGATACTAAGTTGTTAATCGATTAATGTGTTTAAGAGTAATAAAATTATATCTCAAGCTATACTACGTGTTACACGTTGTTACATTACGGCAAAGCGGTCATCCGAGTAGGCTGTACACACCTAGTACAATAAATCGGCCACCGAGAGTTAGCGACAACGCACTTAATTGTTTATGGAAAAGCGATAAACTATGTAACGCGCAAACGAATAAGCAGTGGGCATAGCAGAAGCGCAAAACAGCCAGGAAAGGGCCCCGTTTAGAGATTTTCATCTGAACTGTTATGTTTTTTATTGGGAACGGAGGTACATTCGATGAATTTGCCACTGGTCCTAAATGCTACAGTTACACTGTTGCGCATAAGGTAAATCGTAGGCGTACAAAAATACTATTTCGAAATGAAGAACCCGTCAATTGTTTACTAAAATAATAAATAATTAAGTCGTCCTTACCCTTTACCCTCAATTAAGGGTAAGCAAATTGAACAACAAAAACATGTCTCTTGATTTTTTTCCATATAACTTTCGACTTTTTTCAATAGTCTTAAGGTCGAATTTCTAACAAATTTCCCAATTTAGGGTAGTTTGTTGCGCGTCTGTACTCAGTGCACACAATTATTTCGTGTTTTCCATTGGCAGTATAAAAAACTCCTTGAACGGGCACTTAATTAAAAAAATATTTGTTTACGAAAATTTTTATTTGTACCAATAAATTTTCGACCTTATTTCGTAATAATAATAAGAGTTCTTTCAAAAATTTTGAGCTTCATTTGGTATTTAATTTTGTTTTTACACATAACCGGATAACAAAGGGTTTTTGTCTGTGTTTACTTATTTAATTCCATTATTATAATGAAGTATTTTATGTCATTTCTTATGTTCTAATGATGATTACAAACAATGAGTAAGCTTGTTCAGTATTTTCTCTTAGAAATGTAACTAATGGGCTTTCATTATCTTGTTGTTTTAGTTAATAAGTACATAGCTATTTTGGTAATACGTAGTCTAGATTGAGGTATTATGTTGGCGTTTTAATATAAGCCTTGTGTTCTATTATATAGAACTGGCTGTGTCCTCGACTTCGGCCGCGCGGAATAGTGACTTTGGATATCTCTTCACAGCTTCTATTCCATAGGCAACAGCGCAATAATATACAGCCTATATGTTGGCCAAAGTTGATAGTAATATTTATGCAAAATCTTATGTAAATCCATGTAGAACTCTTCGAACTAACAAACAAAAACTATGCTTTTGGCTACTATATCGATGATAGATTACGTACCAAGTATCAATACATAGTATAAAACAAAGTCGCTTTCGCTGTATGTCCGTATGTATGCTTAGATCTTTAAAACTACGCAACGGATTTTGATGCGGTTTTTTTTAATAGATAGAGAATCTTTTTATAAAAGCGTTCTGTTTATTAACCCACTTGTTGCTATCGTTCTTTTAAAAGGTCGATGTATAAATAAAATTATTGTGAACAATGAGGGTATTTATAACATTGTTGTTTCTATTCATTTGACGGGTCTTAAGTGTACGAAGCGGACACATCATTCATTGTTCGTGATTTAATTAATCTTCTATTTTGTATACATTTTTGATTTCAAGGTTTTAACTATGAAGAATTCAAGGTAAGGAATGATAACTAAAACAATATGTTATTTTTTCAAGAAGGCTAGAACTTAGTTATATGCTGCCTAAATTAAAGTTTGATAGCAATGTCAGTATTTTATTGTCATTACAAATATGTATTTTATTCAGTTTTAATTGCCGTCCTTTTAAACAACCAATAGCAAAATCTGTTACTATCATCTTTTATGTGTTTCAGATATCAAAAAAAGTGGTCTCGGCATTTGACGCTAAATGAAATAGTTGAAAAGTTAGAAGAGGATGATGAAGAGGAAGTACCTGATTCCATTATCATTCTGCCTCCTGAAAACTGCAATGCTGATGTCACTGATGAGGATTCAGGTGATGAAAACCAAGTTTCTCTAGACAATTTACCCGGATCTCAGTTACGGGCGCTGGGAGAAGCCTGTTTCCAGTCAGAAAATTGTAGT